ACCAGAGTGACTGCCAGTGTCACCGCCAGAGTGACTGCCAGAGTGACTGCCAGTGTCACCGCCAGAGTGACTGCCAGAGTGACTGCCAGTGTCACCGCCAGAGTGGACTGCCAGAGTGACTGCCAGTGTCCACCGCCAGAGTGACTACCAGAGTAACCGCCAGAGTGACTGCCAGTGTCACCGCCAGAGTGACTACCAGAGTGACTGCCAGAGTGACCGCCAGAGTGACCGCCAGCAGGTTGCTTAAGGAGCCAACGAGGGCAGTGTATAACCAAGATGGCGATGTCCTCACCGTGGCCAAGCCCAGCGATTACGACATCGCTACCACCGCACCTCCTCACCACCACCGCACCTCCTCACCGCCACTCCTCACCACCACCACCGCACCTCCTCACCACCACCGCACCTCCTCACCACCACCGCACCTCCTCACCGCCACTTCTCACCACCACCACCGCACCTCCTCACCGCCACTCCTCACCACCACCACCGCACCTCCTCACCACCACCGCACCTCCTCACCGCCACTCCTCACCACCACCACCACCGCACTTCCTCACCACCACCGCACCTCCTCACCACCACCGCACCTCCTCACCACCACCGAACCTCCTCACCGCCACCGCACCTCCTCACCGCCACCGCACCTCCTCACCGCCACTCCTCACCGCCACCGCACCTCCTCACCGCCACTCCTCACCACCACCACCGCACCTCCTCACCACCACCGCACCTCCTCACCGCCACTTCTCACCACCACCACCGCACCTCCTCACCACCACCGCACCTCCTCACTGCCACCTCACCTCCTCACTGCCACCGCAACTCCTCACCACCACCGCACCTCCTCACCGCCACTCCTCACCACCACCACTGCACCTCCTCACCACCACCACTGCACCTCCTCACCACCACCGCACCTCCTCACCACCACCGCACCTCCTCACCGCCACCGCACCTCCTCACCGCCACCGCACCTCCTCACCGCCACCGCACCTCCTCACCGCCACCGCACCTCCTCACCACCACCGCACCTCCTCACCGCCACTCCTCACCGCCACCGCACCTCCTCACCGCCACCGCACCTCCTCACCGCCATCGTACCTCCTCATCGCCACTCCTCACCACCACCGTCACACCTCACCGCCACCACACCTCCTCACCGCCACCGCACCTCCTCACCGCCACCGCACCTCTTCACTGCCATCGCACCTCCTCACCGCCACTCCTCACCCCCACCGCACCTCCTCACCGCCACCGCACCTCCTCACCGCCACCGCACCTCGTCACCACCACCGCGCTCTACTATTCATGCAGTCGACACACAGAGGCCACCAAGATCTACCCGGACAGCCTCGTACCGTGTGACCTTCGACTCTCACAGACTAACATGGAGACCCACAGGCTCACAAGGAGGCCCATGGGAGACTGCCCTGACAGTCCCCCATCATCTGCTCTTAAGTCTCCTCTTCCACTTGTGTCTCCGGGGGCAGCCTCCCCAACCAAGCACGAACTGGGCCCAACCCCGCTTGGCTCCCAGGACCTGGTGGGATCGTGCGTGTGCAGTGCCATTCGGTCGTCGGCTCCGCCAAAGGCATGGTTCATGCCGTCAGTAAACGGGTTAACGTGACCAGCCACTGGTGACCGCTACACTCGCGACGACGCTAAAATACAATTGATCTTCGAATAGGATTACGACCTTGAATATATCCTCTGCCATCATCGTCTCCTTTTCCCAAGCTCAATCACTCCCCAACTTGCCACTCACTCACCCACCAAGAACAACAACAACAACCGCCATTCGCCACTAAGTGGCGGTGACGTCACCACGACGCTTGTGCCAGGCCATGTACACCTTGAGGCCACGTGAAGTGTCGAACGCCCGCGGGCAGAAGGTCACGGGGCAGACCCAAGTGCCACGGGTCGACTGCCTGAGATGGCTGGCTGATGCACCACCTGTGCCCCCTACTGTGCCAACCTGCTGTGCTCTAGCCACCCGGCGCTGCGCTCGTTGTTGTGAGCCTCGCTCCTCCGCCCTCCGTTGTTGTTGGAGGGCGACTGCCTCCAACTGCCCAGTAGCGTCCTTCACAAGCCTCCTCCACAGAGGCCGATCTTGACACCGCTGGTACCAGTCATCGGCAAGTCCACTCAGCTCCACGTCCTCCTGTACCACATCACTCCATCTCTTCTCTAGCCTGTGCCGCGCCCATTTAGCCCCCTCGATCCGGCCGAACAAAAGCTGTTTCGGCATGCGGTGGCTGGGCATGCAGGCTACATGACCCAGCCAACGCAGCCTTGCCTGCCGGAGGAGCTCACCGATGGGACTTTGTCCTGATCTGGTTAAACCCAGGATGGATCGTCAGCAGGCCAGCATAAATGTTTCTAACAGGCGAAGATGTTTCATTGGGGGGGGGGGGGGGTCCACGTTTCGCAAGTGTAGTGAGTTCAACTGAGTCGCAGATACATTTCTTGGAGGCAATACATTTATTAAATCACATTAACAACCTATGGTGGTGGACCACCAGGTTATCTACACTAATTACACGGGAATTAGCTACGATGGACCAGACCCTGGCCTGGGTCCGGGTCCACGTGTTGGTGACTTGTAGGGCATAGAACGTACAATGTAGATTCTTCAGGATGAACAATAGCAGCCGGTCCCTCTCGGGGACCTGGCTTTTATCCTTTATGGTGGAGCTGGCTCCGCCCTTAGCCACGACCACCTTCTGGAATCCTCTAGCAGGTTCCCGGCCCTGGCACGTGACCACCCCTAGCCCCCACCTGGGGGCCTTGTGTAGACTTTATCAGTCACGTGTCCTTCGGGGTCAACCAGAGTGCCATGGCCTTTAGTAACCCCATTCCCATGGCTGGCACTCTCACACCCTATCCTGTAGGGGTCGGCACTGCACGCAGAGCGTGGTGCCACCCAGCACTGCCAGTCAGTGCTCACTGAGCCCCTCTAGGGCCGTTACTGCACCCACAGGTACAGGTAGTCCTCAACTTACGATGGAGATGCGTTACGACGACCCCATCGTAAGTCAAAAATATCGTAAGTCGAACATGGCCTAGCCTACCCAGGAGTCTTAAAGAATGGTGATAATTTAGCAAAACAGAGCAATTTACAGTACCATACTGTATAAACTATATACTGTATGTATTTATTAATTCTAATACTGTATTGCACAGTAAAATGTAAAGTAAAAAACAAGGTAAATTCTTAGCCTACCTATATGAACTGCAATTTAACAGAAAGTTTTTTCAGGAAACAATCCTATCTGCTATAAAAACTTTAACATGCATTGAACGTATTGTATCGTGGTAATCCTAAAATAAAATCGCTAAAGCTACGTATCATACATGCATTGAACGTATCGGGCTTTGAAACACAAAAAACAGAACAAAATACACGTGCTAACACCGAGACAACTTAACTCTGTCGACCGCTGGTGAGAATGAGGCATCACACAACACGGAAGATGCATACATCCCGGCAGCATCCCAACGTACAGTATCGTACCTCGTACGCTGCTGCGTTTGCCTGCCGCGCGAAATTTAAAATATTTTACAATTTTGTCGTATCGCTATCGCCATCGTAAGATCGAAATATCGTAAGTCGGACCATCGTAACTCGGGGACTACCTGTACGTGGTGCCCGCGATGTCGATACATTGCACGCCGTGCCTCTCTAGGGCCGTCATTACCCAGTGGTGACGATGTCACCACACAAGCGTAGAGAAGGGAGGGAATGACTGCGGCAGAGAAGACCTGAAGCTTCGTGCGGAGAGACAGATCAGGTATCTTCCACATAGCGTTACGCAACCGATGAAAAAATAATGCCGCTCGACTGATTCGGAGTGAGACCTCTGCTGTCAAACTGGAGCTGGTCATGAGCACACTGCCCAGATATGGGAAACGCTCCACTCTCTCCACAACTGCCCTATCACCAATTGGGAGATTGGGGGTGGAGTGTCCGATGTGGGGGTGGAGTGTCCGATGGTACAAAATACCCAGGCAGGTGCTTAGTTTTGGTGGGGCTCATGGTAAGGCCCCACCTCTTAGTGGCAAGCTCCAGGTTCAGCAGCAGGGCCTCCAACTCCTCCTCACTCACCCACCACACCTACTCACTCTCACTCACTCTCCCATGCACTCACCCAAACGTGAGTGGGGGTAAGCAGGGTGAGTGGGGGTGAGCAGGGTGAGTAGGGGTGAGCAGGGTGAGTGGGGGTGAGCAGGGTGAGTGGGGGTGAGCAGGGTGGTTTTGGCCATGTTTTTGTTTATTGTAGTACGGAGTTAGACTAATGGCCTTAATCTTAGTTGTCTTGTGTTTGTTGTTGTTGTTGTTTGACTTGCATCCCACTGGGATTTTTGCACACAGCGTTGGTGTACGGCGCTATTTCAGGAATATTTTTATGTTTTTTTCCTGGATTTTCTGTTTGCACAGTCACACATAGTCACTTTAAGACGTTTTCTTGTTCATGTTTTTGTTTGTCGCGGTTGCACCCGATTCAAGAGCCGAATGGCTCACAGGGATATACCAAATAAATGAGCTATGGAACTATGGAGTGGGGGTGAGCAGGGTGAGTGGGGGGAGAGCAGGGTGAGTGGGGTGAGCAGGGTGAGTGGGGGTGAGCAGGGCGAGTGGGGGTGAGCAGGGTGAGTGGGGTGAGCAGGGTGAGTGGGGGTGAGCAGGGTGAGTGGGGGTGAGCAGGGTGAGTGGGGGTGAGTAGGGGTGTGCGGGGTGAGCAGGGTGTGCGGGGTGAGCAGGGTGAGTGGGGGTGAGCAGGGTGAGTGGGGTGAGCAAGGTGAGTGGGGTGAGCAGGGTGAGTGGAGTGAGCAGGGTGAGTGGGGGTGAGCAGGGTGAGTGGGGTGAGCAGGGTGAGTGGGGGTGAGCAGGGTGAGTGGGGTGAGCAGGGTGAGTGGGGGTGAGTAGGGGTGTGCGGGGTCAACGGGGTGAGCGGGGTGAGCGGGCGACGCATACCGGGTGAGCGGGGTGAGCGTACCGGGTGATCAAGGTGAGCAGGGCGGTGTCTCTTCACGGCCAGGACACCCGACGGGGCCAGTGCATGGCGTCTGTAACAAAGTCGGCACAGTGGCTCACACTCACCAGCACTCACCAGCACTCACCAGCTCTCACCAACACTCACCAGCACTCACCAGCACTCACCAACACTCACCAACACGCACCAGCACTCACCAACACTCACCAGCACTCACCAGCACTCACCAACACTCACCAGCACTCACCAGCACTCACCAACACGCACCAGCACTCACCAGCACTCACCAACACTCACCAACACTCACCAACACTCGCCAACACTCACCAGCACTCACCAGCACTCACCAGCACTCGCCAACACTCACCAGCACTCACCAGCTCTCACCAACACTCACCAACACGCACCAGCACTCACCAGCACTCACCAGCACTCACCAGCTCTCACCAACACTCACCAGCACTCACCAGCACTCACCAACACTCACCAACACGCACCAGCACTCACCAACACTCACCAGCACTCACCAGCACTCACCAACACTCACCAGCACTCACCAGCACTCACCAACACGCACCAGCACTCACCAGCACTCACCAACACTCACCAACACTCACCAACACTCGCCAACACTTACCAGCACTCACCAGCACTCACCAGCACTCGCCAACACTCACCAGCACTCACCAGCTCTCACCAACACTCACCAACACGCACCAGCACTCACCAACACTCACCAGCACTCACCAACACTCACCAGCACTCACCAGCTCTCACCAACACTCACCAACACGCACCAGCACTCACCAACACTCACCAGCACTCACCAGCTCTCACCAACACTCACCAACACTCACCAACACTCACCAGCTCTCACCAACACTCACCAGCACTCACCAACACTCACAAGTTCTCGCCAACACTCACCAACACTCACCAGCTCTCACCAACACTCACCAGCACTCGCCAACACTCACCAACACTCACCAACACTCACCAGCTCTCACCAACACTCACCAACACGCACCAGCACTCACCAACACTCACCAACACTCACCAACACTCACCAGCTCTCACCAACACTCGCCAACACTCACCAACACTCACCAGCTCTCACCAACACTCGCCAACACTCACCCACCAGCACTCACCAGCTCTCACCAACACTCACCAACACTCGCCAACACTCACCAGCACTCGCCAACACTCACCAGCACTCGCCAACATACACACAAACACACATGCACACATACCCACATGCACACATACCCACACACACACACATACCCACACACGTACACACAAACACACGTACACACAAACACACATACCCACACACACATACACACAAACACACGTACACACAAACACACGTACACATAAACACACATACCCACGCACACACATACACACAAACACACATACCCACAAACACACATACATACACACATACCCACAAACACACATACACGCATATACACAAACACACATATACACATACACACCGAGAAGGACTCCAACCCGAACGGGATACCACGCACTGGCCATCAACGGCACCATACTGTGAACCCGCAGATACAAAGAGTCTCACAGAGATACACAGAGACACATAGAGATACACAGAATCTCCCAGAGATACACAGAGACTCACAGAGATACACAGAGACACATAGAGATTCACAGAGTCTCCCAGAGATACACAGAGTCTCACAGAGATACACAGAGACACATAGAGATACACAGAGACACATAGAGATACACAGAGACTCACAGAGATACACAGAGACACATGTAGATACACAGAGACTCACAGAGATACACAGAGACTAACAGAGATATACAGAGACACATAGAGATACACAGAGACTCACAGAAATACACAGAGACACATAGAGATACACAGAGACTCACAGAGATACATAGATATACAAAGAGACTCACAGAGTTACAAAGAGACTCACAGAGATAGATAGAGACACACAGAAATGCCAAGAGACAGAGATACATAGAGAAACACATAGATGCCAAGAGACACATAGACATACGTAGATGTGCATTAAAGACAAGCCACAGCAGTGCGATTTTAGCCATGCAACCCAAACTCTGGACCACAGAGTAACCACTGTAGTCTGCGTGCCTTCAACAGAGGATGAAGAGCCAAACGACACGAGTTCTCCCCTCAAGCCCTCTTGTGGCGATCTCCAGATTGACACGTATGTATGTTGAACTTCTTTCGCACCGTACGTAGCCAACCGTGCTAATCGGACATCCAGCTCATGAAAACATTGCCACTGCTCCCAAGACGAGAGTAGAACCGCATACACGCCCCACCAGTGCCCCACCCGTGCCCCACCAGTGCCCCACCCGTGCCCCACCAGTGTTCCGCCCGTGCCCTACCCGTGCCCCACCAGTGTCCCACCAGTGCCCCACCCGTGCCCCACCAGTGTCCCGCCCGTGCCCTACCCGTGCCCCACCAGTGCCCTACCAATGCGCACCCGTGCCCCACCCGCCCCCGACCTGTGCCCCACCCGTGCACACACGCATGCGCACACGCATGCACACGCATGCACACGCACGCACACACACGCACGCACACGCATGCACACACACGCATGCACACACACGCACGCACACGCACGCACACACACGCACGCACACACACGCACGCACACACACGCACGCACACACACGGGGCCATATGCCGACTGCCGGCCATCGCCACTCGCCGCTCATGTAGATCGCGCCTTGAGGGCACGGGGCCGGAGGGGCGACGGTGTTGGCATGCCAACAACTCCGCGGCCTCCACTCTGCGCCCACGAGCAGCTCGCAGACACTCAAAACGTTCCGGTGACGCGCTCCGGGGGCTGCGCCGCGTCACAAGCGTGACCGGGGCCGGGCCGGGCACGGAGGACCCGACTCACCCACCGTCTCAATGAGCGTGACGACCGCTTGCTGCATAATTCACGGTGCCCCCCCCCCCTCAACCCCCTACTACTCCGCGGGCGCGGAGAGGACGCGGCGTTGACAACTCACGGGCCCGGCGATCGCACGAGCGAGCGGCGCCATTAATCTCACTCGGCGTGCGCCCGCGACACGGGGCGAGCAAAAACCAACAGCCAGCACAAGCCGCGAACCACGGCCACTTGAGCACGAGCGGGCGGCAGTGACAACACGGGCGGCAGTGTGGCACTGACCCTGACGCACACAGAGACGTAGAGACACGGACGAGGACTCAGAGAGGGACGTAAACGCATTGACAGATACACGGACAGAGACACAGAGACAGATACACAGACAAAAACACAGAGACACATAGACAGATACACAGACCCATTAAGACACAGAGAGAGACACGCGCACACAGACGCCTTCATCTATAGCCAGGTGAGCGTGACGCACCTTGCTCACAGAGCGAGTGAGCGAGCGATCCGCTGCTCAACTGAGCATTGAGGCATCGGTGCTCATTCCACACTCGTGTTGCAGGGGGCGAGTCCACAGGACAACCGCTGTTGATTTCCCCCACGAAGTGGTTTCTTGTTTTATCGACCTCTGGATGGAGGGATGATGGGCTGAGTCAACCTGTCTCCCACCTCCCAACCAGAATGTGAACTCGCGATGATGATGCTACGCAACTGAATAGAGGACCGGTCCTTGACGGCCGTCACATCCCCAGTGTGACGCTGGTCGCCAAGCTCACACGCGATGAACACCGTGGCCATAAAAAAGGAAAAACAAATAAACCGTGGGCGACGTTTCGGGCAATGGCACTTCTTCATGGCAGAGAGATGTTCTCCCTGCACGATTGTTCGTCGTGCAGAGAACCCAGCAGCAGGTCAGGGCAGAGAGAGCATCGCCCTGGGCCATTGCCCGAAACGTCGGCCAATATTAATTTCCACCTGGAGGGCCCCACACACGGCCGGGTGCCATTACGGCCGAGCGCGAGGAGTAACGCCGTTGTTTGTGCTCAGGCGCCCCGTCACACGCCAACACGAGGGGCCATTGTGACTCGCAGGGGATAATGGCGCGCGCGAGGAGCGGTGGGACCGTGGGCGCCTCGGTGGTTAATGCGACACTCGCGGGGTTGGCAACCGTTCGCAGGGTCCACACGAACCGGCGGTGTGCACCACGGAATCGCGTACGGCAGGGGTCCCCAACCCCCAGGCCGCGGACCGGTACCGTACGTGCGAGTGTAAGGAACCGGACCGCTCAGCAGGACGTGAGCGGTGGGCGAGCGAGCGAAGCTTCGTCATCTGTATTGACAGATGAAGCTTCCTCATCTGTATTGACAGATGAAGCTTCATCGTCATCTGTATTGACAGCCGCTCCCCATCGCTCGCATTACCGTCTGAGCTCCGCCTCCTGTCAGATCAGCGGCGGCACCCCCAGATGGGACCGTCTAGCCTCAGGAAAACAAGCTCAGGGCTCCCACTGATTCTGCATTATGGTGAGTTGCATAATTATTTCATTATATATTAAAATGTAATAATAATAGAAATAAAGTGCACAATAAATGTAATGCGCTTGAATCATCCCGAAACCATCCCCCCCTCCCCCACCGGTCCCTGGTGCCAAAAAGGTTGGGGACCGCTGGCGTACGGCATCGCGTGGGGCATCGCGTTCGTGTGAGTGTGTGTTGACTGGGTGCGATGTTCACTGTGTAAACATGCACTGTGTGTGTTGTTTGAGTGTGTAGAGTGGTAGTGTAACAGTTAGCGCGTCGCGCTACGAACCTGGCCACCCGAATTCGATTCCCGCACACAGGCAACACCAGTGACGATAATCTGAACTGGTCCTGGGCATCCCCTAGGTCGACTCAGCCTAAAAAAGTACCTATTGCGGTATGGAAACAGCGCCACTGGAGAGACAAAGTTCGGCCGGGCGTGGTGCTGGCCACCCACCCCCTCGTGTGCTGTGCCGGACTTCAGAAGTGCTCGCTAGCAGCACTTGCCCCAACAGTCTGTTAAGGCGATACGAGGGATCTTTGTTTATGGTGTGGAGAGCGATAGTGCAGTGGTTAGCACGCTACACTACGAACTTGGTGACCTGAGCTCCATTCTCGCTCACGGCCAACAC